TGGCCTGCTGTGTTCCTCCAGCTCCACACTGTGTAACCTGTGTTCTATCTGTTTTGGGTGCATTTTAGGGGAGAGTAAGGCAGACTTTACTTTGTATCTAACTTGAGAATATTGGATCAGACAAGTCCTTTGCTTTACTCATCCTGAGAGCGTTAGAACGCTATAGATGGAGCTTTAGTGTATATCTAATATATGCTGTACTTGCCGTGGGAGTGTTTAATGGGACAGTGTAGAGGGAGCTTTATTTGTTTGATGCTAGCACTGGCTGCATCATATCAAAAGTATTACATTCCTCATTGCTTCACTAAACCTAAGACATTGGAAAGAAGTTTGTAAAGTTTAAAATATTAATAATAATGTGATATTTGAGATCTCTGCATAGTATTATCTGTGTGGATGCAGCGAAGCAATTCTGGTAGATTATCATATTTATGTACATGTCTGTCTATTGCTGTTGTAAACATTTCAGCCATTGTGGGCCTAATATAACACATGGACTGTAGCAGTTCAAGAAGGCAGTTGACCATCACCTTCTCAAGGGCAACGGCGGATATGGAATAAACATTGGCCTAGCCAGCGATGCTCACTTACCTCAATGATTTTTAAAAAAGTATCCCATTTCTTACTAATATCGTAACAGTGGCACAGGAACAAAGCATATAATAAGTTTGATTCCCCCAACTTTTGTCCCAACATCTGAGTGAAAAGTCTTGGGTTTAGATCCCATTTGCTCCAGAGCTGTGTAATAACATCTCTGAACAAGGTGATTAGAAAATATCCAGAAAACATTTGATCCTCATTGAGGTGGGTGAGTGGCATTCATTGATGTATAACCTGATAAATCCAGTAATACGTACAATTGTAGATAGGTATAAAAATGTAACATGGCAACTTATTGAAATACCATAGTAATACAGCAGTTGCTCAGGATACGGTATCAAGTTGAGTGCCATGCTGTGCACAATCTTTGTTCACAGCGTGTGAGGCTTCCCGAAGCAGAAGGCTTTGCTTCTGTTTGAGAGTGAAGTGTATATTATGGACAGCTGTTGCAATGAAACCTGATCTGTGTGCTTAAACCAATTACAACTTGAAGTGATGACAGCAGTAGACAGACGCCACCAGTACTGAAACTTCCACACACTCGCTTTTACCAAATATATTATGCACAAGATCAAAATGTGAAAAAAAATTTCCTATTTCATTTTTTAGAATTTTCATAGTAATGAGGCGGTCTTTGAGGCTGTGGAACAGCAGGATCTTGATGCTGTCCAGATGCTCCTAAACCTCTACAGCACAGAGGAACTGGATTTGAACACACCAAACAGTGAAGGGTTGATGCCTTTGGACATTGCAATCATGACTAACAATGTGCCCATGGCCAAGATGCTTCTGCAGGCTGGGGCTAAGGAGAGCCCACACTGTAAGTCCAGTGGGGATTTCAATTCTTAATTGATAATACCAGCTTCTTTCATATGGAAGTAAGACACTCTAATTCCTTTGACTGAAGCAATCATGAGTGAATGAGTTTATATATTTGTATATGTATGCCTTGTCCTGAGGCGCCTTGGTGGTGAACGTGTATCAATTGGGTGGGATCGTGCCAGCTGGGGGACCCAGCTTCTTTAGTGCCTCTGCTGTATGAAGTCTGAACTTCACAGATAACTCTCTAGCCCTTCTACAACTGAAGTCATTAAGGGGATGGTTAATACCCACTTAAGATCTTCATTCTGCTGCTGCTAGTACTCAACCGTTGAAGGGTGGAGAACTTGCCATGCAGAATGCCCAGAAGTGCAAGCACTGTCCTCAGTGTTGTTTCATCCTTAGTCATTCTATGAGTTTAGGTTCTCTTTAATTTCAGCATAGTCCAAGGTATTGGGGTCTTGTTCAGAATTAGAGCAGTCCCTTTGCTTCTGTTAAATTACTCACTATCTCCAAATATGTCTTTTATGTTATTTTTTCAATGATGTACCATATTGACTTATTGAAATGTACATGAACACAAAATACACACAAAGAAACCTTTGAAACTGATCAAAAATCTACAAAATTAACTTAAGATTTCCAAAACATCTGTCACTATGTTCTTTCGTTCTTAATGTCTTAAATGAGATGTTAAAAGAAATCCATCCTAGCCTCATCCTCATTTTTCTATTATGTATTGCACTCAGAAAACCTTATGAAAACTCAGCTTGCGAACTCATTGCAAATAATCATTGTTGAACTAACTTTATTTACACTTCCACAACTGGGAGACAAGTGTATAACATACAGTGCTACACTTGGAGTCTGGATTTGCATGCAAAAAAATACTCAAATGTTGAAGGTACTGAAGAGTATTTCTACAGATCCCAACAGGAGTCTTTGGAGAAGAGGTTTAAATGAAGACAAAGGGTTTAAAAAAAAACTTTCCGTATTGACTCTCCATGATTTCTATGCAAAAATAGTGTATTTTCATTTAAAATCTGAAGAGATTTCCAAATATGGAGTTAAAATATGTTGTAGAGTACAATGAAGTCGGCTTTACTCACATAGAGTTGTAGGCCTATAAATTTTGATAGGGGCAATAGTCATTGTGGCAATGTAGATTGGAGTTGCATGTCAGGACCATTCAGCAGACCCTATAGTAATCACCCAGATTACCTAGCTCTGGAACCCTGTGAGAAAGTTGCAAACTCTCATTCAGGGTTAAAAGTTTCAGATCTGATTCACATAAGCTTAAAAGATAGCCAAGAGATTGATTTGCCATTATTTGCCTTTTCCGCTGGCCTATCTATATTCTGTTATTGTTAATTGATATTATCCTCAGCGTTGGCCAATTCTCCAAGTTTGGTATCATCAGAGTTTGAAATTGTGGTCTACACAGCAAAGTCCAAACAATGAATTCTCGGGGAATACTATTGTGAGAATCTAATAACCTCTTCCTTAATTTGTCATATAATTGAACTTAAGCTGTCTGCTTTAAATAACATCTCCAAGGTTTTAACTAAATACTTTTAAACCATCTTCTCCTTTGTTCAGGAGCAGCTGCTTTACACATCCAGCGTACCTGTCCAAATTGAAACTAAAGAAAACTTTTATTTTGTCTACAAAGCTATGGGTGTTTCTTCTAGTCCCAAAAAAAGTCCAGAATATTCTATCGAAAAACTTAATACACTAATCTGTTTACTCACTGGTAATCTCTCACAATGTAAACAAATTCCCATCAGCCTCCAGAACTGTCTTTCTCAGAATGTCTTTGAAAACTCATCACCATGGCTACAGAAATACTTAGAAATTAATCTATGTTAATAGATATGCAGAAAACCCATTTGTCACTTATTCAAATCAAAAATCCAACTCAAAACTGAATTACATTAAAATAGATATAAATCTTATATCACAACTCAATTTTTTTGTTAGGCATATCAATGCCTTTCCCCTGTAAAAGATCATGATCAGCCTACTTTAGGCAGATAATCGTTGACTTGTATACAAAATGCAAAAGATGTCAAACTGTCTCCCTGTTGCTCACAGAAGTTACTTTGGCTCTTTGAGATCATTCAGAGAAGTTTTGCTCTTAAATTGCCAAAGTTATGTTTAAAATGGGGTAGAAATGATCTGCCATATTTCAGGAGAGGGTTAATGCTCACCAGTTGATGTTAATTTCCCCTTGCAGTTGTGAGTTTGGAGAGTCGGGCCTTACACTTGACAACATTGGTGCGAGAGTCTGAGCAGCGTGTGAGTGAGTTAACTACACAGGTACTGAATGAGACACCAAATGCAAACTACACAGACAAAGAGAAACAACTGAAAGCCTGGGAGTGGCATTACCGACTCTTCAAAAGAATGAAAGCTGGCTTTGAGCATGCACGTGAGTGTCATGGACCAAAGTACATAGATGCTGTTTTCTTTTATTTTCTCTGCAATTTCTCATGCTGTATAACCATGAACCACTCTAGCTCCCAGTGACTTCATTCATCCAGAATCCATAAGTTAAAGCCATTTCTGTGGGCAGTTCACTCTGCACTGAGTAGGCAACAAATTCCATGCAATACAGAGCTGCTATGCTGATCTCATGCCTAATTACAGAGATGAACGATCTCAAAGTTTCATTTGCATGAGCCTGTACACAAGCAATGTAAGTGATGTAGACAGATTGGGCTGGCAGGGTTCCTGGGTGTGAAATCTGTGGGCTCCTCATTGGAAGTGCATGGCTGTGACAGATTGTCCTAAATGAAATACCATCAGTAACCAGAATGAAAATGCAGTAAGCTTCCTGGCTAGTTGCAAGTAACGTACAATGGAGACATACAGTCAAGAAAGTATTGAATCAATTTTGTGTATTGCAGAATAATTGATTTCAATATGGTTGATCACAAAGAAAGTAACATGCAATGGCATAAATGAGTTCATAACATTGTTTAAAAAAAGCAGGAGAAGTGCTCACATCTGTTTTTTTCCCCTTGATTATTAAGGCTATCCTTCAAGAAGATAACGAGAAACAGCTAAGCTACCATCTTGTTCACAGTTGTTGCTTAGCAACACAAATACTGCAACTCAAATTCTAAGATTCCAGCTGCAGGAAAAACATATGCGAACCGCATCATTACCGTCAGAATCTCAACCATTTCATAACATAAAAACATAGCAAATTGAGAACACAGAAGGAAGCCATTCAGCCCCTTGTATCTGGACCACCTGAAAAAAAATCCAGCCAAATTCCACTTTCCGATTCTTGCTCAGTAGCCTTGAAGATTATAGCATTTCAAGAACATATTTTAAATGCAGTGACATGTTTTTCCAACAGCACCCCTTCAGTCAGTGAATTCCAGTCCCCAACCATCCTTAGGTTGAAATCATTTTAACTCAGTTGACCTCTAATCCTTAGGTCAATGTTTCCTTGTGATTAATCACAAATAGCAGATGTAATTTAAAGCAGAGAAATTATTAATTTTGGTGTGAGAAATGAGAAATACCTACATGAACCGAATGGCACAATTTTGAATGTGGTGCAAGAACAAAGAATCCGAGAGACATGATACACAATTCTTTCACAATAGGACAAGTTGAGAAGGCTGTTAAATTACATACAGAATTTCTAACTTCATTCATAGAGGAATTAGGGAAATAATGCTAAACCTTAAATCATTTAGCTTGACCTTGGCTGGAGTTTTATTGCTGATACTGAGAGCCATACTTTAAGATGAATGGCAATGTCTTGGAGAGGATACAGAGAACGTTGACTAGAATGATGCCAAGGATGATGAACTCAGCTACATGGGGATTCTGTGATTGCTCTTCTTAGAGCAGAGAATGTTAAGGGGAAATTTAAAAGAGGTGTTCAAAATCATAAAGGGATTTGATGGAGTAAATAAGGCAAGATTGTTTCTAATATCAGAAAGGTCAGTAACTAGAAGCACAGATTAAAATTATTTGGCAAAAGAACCTGTTTTTTAAATAGTTCATTCATAGGACATGGGTGTCACTGGTTTGGCCAGCATTTATTGCCTCGCTAGTTGCCCTTGAGAAGGTGCTGGTGAGCTGTATTCTTGAACTGCTGCAATCCACATGCTGTAGGTTGACTCACAATGCCCTTTGGGAGGGAATTCCAGGATTTTGACCCAGTGACACAGAAGGCGATATATTTCCAAATCAAGATGGTCAGTGACTTGAAGGGGAACTTGCAAATGATCGTGGTGTTCCCATGCATCTGCTGCCCTGTCCTTCTAGATGGAAGCGGTCATGGGTTTGGAAGGTGCTGTCTAAGGATCTTTGATTAAGTTCTGCAGTATACCTCATGGATAGCACACACTCCTGCTAGTTAGTGTCAGTGATGGAGGGAATAGATGCTTGTGGATGTGATGCCAGTCAAATGGGTTGCTTTGTCCTGGATGGTGTCAAGCTTCTTGAGTGTTGTCGGAGCAGCACCTATCCAGGCAAGTGGGGAATATTCCATCACACTCTTGACATGTGCCTTGTAGATGGTGAACAGGTTTTGGTAAGTCAGGAGTTGAGTAACTCTCCGCAGTATTCCTAGCCTCTGATCTGCCGAGGATGTTGATTGTGGGGGATTCAGTGATGTTAACACCATTGAATGTCAAGGGGTAGTGTTTAGATTGCCTCTTACTGGTGATAGTCATTGCATGACATTCCTGAGGTGCAAACATGACTTGCTACCTGTTATTCCAAACCAGGGTAGTATCCAGATCTTTGAAAAAGGACTGCTTCAGTATCTGAGGAGTCATGAATGGTGCTAAACTTTATGCAATCATTGATGAATAAACACACTTCTGTCCTTTGATGGAGGGAAGGTCACTTATAAATCAGCTGAAGGTTGTTGGGCCTAGGACATTACCCAGAGGAACTCCTGCAGAGATGTCCTGGAGCTGAGATGACTGATCTTCAACAACCACAGCCATCTTCCTGTGTGACTTCAACCAGCAGAGAGTTTGCCCCTGAGATCCATTGATTCTCGTTTTGCTGGGGCTCCTTGATGCCATACTTGGTCAAATACAGCCTTCATGTCAAGGGCTGCTACTTACACCTCTCCTCTGGAATTAAGTCCTTTGGCCCATGTTTGAACCAAGGCTGGAATGAGGTCAGGAGCTGAGTGGCCCTGGCAGAACCCAAACTGGGCATCACTGAGCAAGTTATTGCTGAGCAGGTTCTGCTTGATAGCACTATTGATGACACCTTCCATCACCTTATTGATAATTAAGAATAGACTGATGGGGCGGCAATTGACCAAGTTGGATTTGTTCTGTGTTTTTCTATACAGAACATAACTGGGCAATTTTCCACATTGCAGGGTAGATGCCAGTGTTGTAACTGTACTGGATCAGCTTGGCTGGGGGATTGGCAAGTTCTGGAGCACAAGTCTTCAGTGCTATTGCCAGAGTGTTGTCAGGACCCACAGCCTTTGCAGTATCCAGACTGTTTCTTGATATCATGTGGAGTGAATCAAATTGGCTGAAGAATGGTATCTATAGTGCTGGGGGCCACTGCATGAGGCCGAGATGGATCATCCACTTGGCATTTCTGGCTGCGAATGCTTCAGCCTAATCTTTTGCACTGATGTTTTGCGTTCTTCTATCATTCAGGATAGGGATATTTGTGGAGCTACCTCCTCCAATGAGTCGTTTAATCATCCACCACTGTTCACAACCGGATGAGGCAGGAGCTTAGATCTGATCCATTGGTTGTGAGATCATTTAGCTCTGTTTATCACTTTCTGATTATGCTGTTTGGCACGCCAGTAGCCCTACTTGGTATATTCACCAGCTCGACACCTCATTTTTAAGCATGCCTGGTGCTGCTCTTGGCATGCCTTCCTGCACTTTCTGTTGAACCAGGGTTGTTCCTCTTACATGATGGTAGCGGTTGAGTAGGGTATATGCTGGGCCATGATGTTGCAGATTGTGCTGGCCCACAGTGTCTCATGAATGTCCAGTCTCAAGTTGCTAGATCTGTTCGATGTCCGTCCCATTTAGCCTGGTGATAGTGACACACAACACAATGGAGAGTATTGTCAATGTGAAGCTGGGACTTCGTTCCCACAAGGACCGTGTAGGAGTCACTCTTACCAATACTGTCATGGACCAATGCAATTGCAGTTGGCAGATTGGTGAGGAGGAGGTCAACTATGTTTGTCCCTCTTGGTGGTTCCCTCATCACCTGCTGCAGGTCCAGTCTAGCAGCTATATTCTTCAGGAGACATGTTGCTGCCAAGTCACTCTTGGGGGTGGGCATGGAAATCTGAGACACCAGGATAGGAAAGAAAATTATGCAGCAAGTTGTAATCTAGAATCACTGCCTGAAGGAGTGGTTAAAGCAGATTCAATGACATCTCACAAAAAATACTTAAGCATTTCACAAATACATGAAGGGATACATTTAACAGTCTTTCGTGAAAATGCAGGGACATAACAGCCTGAATGACCTCTTTCTGTGCTGTATCGTTCAATGATTCTAATCATTGTGCCATCTTTGTGGAATAACTTTTCACATATCACACATTGCCCCTGGCTTTCTTATTAGGAATTTTCATGTATCTCTTACATTTAATAAGAAGATAGGGAGTAATGGAGGGATTAGAAGCACATATGACCAATCTTCCAGAATCCCAATGGCAGCATATATAGATAGAGGTAGATGTACCTGTGTCTGGTAGGAGAACAGCTTCTGAGCAGGCTTTACATTACCAAGAAAACTGTGACTGAGTTATACTGTAAGATGCTACAAAACATGCAACTTGCTGGCAGCATAGATATTGTGCTGAAAATGTCATAACTACCTCAAGGACATTTAGCCACTCCACTGCTTTGCCCTTTATTCTGTTGGTTTTGTCATAGATGAGGTGCTATCATCAGGTTCAAACCAACTATACATTCTGCAATATGCCCTATCAATGTATTGGAGCCATCCATTTTATCCTTTCACAGCACCACCCATTCTGCAACTTCTTCTGATACCTCGTTCATAAAGTTTAATTTGTGATCAATTGTTCTTGTCCTGGATACAGGAGCTCCAGAAGCGCCAACCCATGTGCAGTTATCTGTAGCCAGTAGCACCTCATTGCAGGTGACATTCCATGAACCTCTCAGTGTCAACTCTGCAGTCGTCACAAAATATAAAGGTAAGGATCTGTGTGTGGTTCAATTATTGAAGCTTTATGATTGGTTATCCTGTCCCAGTAAAGACTGGGCTAAGATTACATTTTGAGTTCTGCATAACCTATCCTTTTGGCATCTGTCAATGGAACTTTCTGAAAGGAGATTAGCTCACCAAACCCATCTCGCGAAGGATGTTTAGAGGTAGTAGCCATTCACCTAATTACCAAAGTTTTGATTGAAATTCAGGTAGTCAGGTGAAACCACATTGTACAAAACTCTTGCTAATGTAATAAAGTCTGTGTCAGTTTTCCTGCCCAGTCTATAATAACATATACAGCAGTCTGAGGAACAGTCTAATATATCACCAAACAATCACTATTATCTAACTTTATTTTTCTTCAGTTTTGTACCAGGTACAGGTTAAATATAAAATAAAACTGGAAGATAAAAGAACTTGCAGTTATATTGTACCTTACAAGTCTTCACGATGTCTCAAAGTGTACCCTAGCCAATAAATAGCTTTTGAAGTGTACCTTACTGTAGATGACATTCCCATGAATCTCTCAGTGTCAACTCTGCAGTCGTCACAAAATAAAAGTAAAGATCTGTAGTTGCTAGTCTAGATTCTAGATTCTTTCACAATCTTCCCAAATATCCTTTTCACTTAGGTTCATAGAGTTTTACAGCACAGAAATGGAGCCTTTGGTCCAACTCATCACATAAGAACTGACCTGTGCTACTACTTCAGTCCAAGTTGCCTTGATGAAATGGGTGGGTTTCCTGCCGTCGTCCCTGGATGCCCTGGAGCAAAAGCTCCAGCCAGGCATTGCCAGACCCAGTGTCCATTTTTTTTCTCTGATTTAGACATCTCTAGGGGAGTGAGGGCAACCAACACAAGCTGAATGATGCTACATGGAGTCAGTGAATGAAGTGTTGTCTGGATGCCCTTTAAAAACATCTTCAGGACATTTGACTGTGGAATTTACTAACACGGGCGAGAATTAACTCCCTGTGTGATCAGATTTGCCATTATACTCCTGTAAAAAGAAACTAAAATGCATATGTAATGAACTGAAAACTACCTTAGCTCATGAGAAAAACTAACCTGCCCTCTAAGAAAGGTGACTGTTTCTGTCAGTTCTACCGCTGGACTTAGGCTCCATATATGGAGAATCTCTGCTTTTACTGAGATTTTACCATCAAACTATAAGGAGGATCTTCAAGAAATGACTCTTAGGAACTTGAGATAGTAGGAACTGCAGATGCTGGAGAATCCGAGACAACAAGGTGCAGGGCTGGATGAACACAGCAGGCCAAGCAGCATCATAGGAGCAGGAAGGCTGACGTTTCAGGCCTAGACCCTTCATCAGAAAAGCGGGAGGGGAAGGGGGTTCTGAAATAAATAGGGAGAGAGAGGAGGGGAAGGGGGTTCTGAAATAAATAGGGAGAGTGCCCTCCTTTTCCTCCTAGAAGGAAAATATCTTTACACAACTTTTTTTTTAAAGACTCAACTTTTACAGTTGTAATTCTTTCTTTCTGTTATCTTGCAGTTGAATGGAGCACTTCTCATAACTTCAGTTCAATAACAGGAGAAGCCTTATTGGATGACATGAAAACTCTACTGTATACAATGACAGGCCTTGTCACAGTAAGTAGGAAACAGATTACTCATGTAGTACCATGCAGTGACTTATGAATTAAAGTCAACATATAAAATGATTAAAATTAATACTAGTTTTCCAGATAATTAATAGCTCCACATAACATCACTATTTGTCTTCTTAGGTAAAACCTCAACATTAAATTAATGAGGTTACTGCCTGATTACATAATTCAGTCAAGATAAAGCTTTGTTGCTTTGCAGCATTAATATCTATCAAACATCAAGAAGTCACACAGATACAGTAAAACAGGAAGCTCCCAGAGAGCAGACAATCTGAGTTCAAGCAGATTTATCCTCTGATGTGTGTTATTAAGCACAACAGTCCAGTCATGATGAATTTTTATTGAACGGATTTATAAGATGTCTGCCTGCAAAGTGTGCCTCGTGGTAGAAGTCACATGACTACAGCCCACCAAAAAGGACTTTCGTACGTGATTTAATTTCAATCTAGTTATCCCTCTTTTCAAAACACAAAAGATTTGTACACCTCACCATATACATTTTGGGTTACCCAAGTGACCCAGCATATACACTAATGTTCTCATGTATTAGCAGTTTATTATTCCCATCAGTCTCTGCAATCCATGTACACCATCAAGAGACCAGCATGATTTAAAGGTTATGTCTGTGTGTTATTGTTGGCTGTTCATCTGGGTAATGTTTCTTCACCAGGGAATTTCACTCCTGTGTCCTTTGTTGTTGACGTGGTCCTTGTTGTTGTTCCATTTCCAATTGTTGGGTTGCTGTGGACCTCTGGGTCTGATAATTAATCTATGGAATGTGAAGGTGACGAGTTCATATCTTCCTGATCAGCTGCCTGCAGTTGAACATACGAACATCTGAACATGGAATAAGAGTAGGCCACTTGGACCTTTAAGCCTGTCCAGCCACTGAATAACATCACGGTGAATCTGATTTTAACATCAAATCTATATTCCTGCACATCCCCAATAATCTTTCATCCCCGTTGTATTCCAGAATCTACATCCACTGCCTTTTGAGGAAGGAAATTCCAAAGATTGTCATCTATATGAGAGAAAATGTTTTTCATCTCTGTCTTAAATGGGTAGTCCTTTATTTTTAAACTACGACCCCTGATTCTAGATTCTCCCACAAGAAGAAACTTCCATTCCACATCCACCCTGTTAAGTCACACAGATGTTATATGTTTCAATAAGTCAACTCTGACTCTTCTAAATTGCAGAGGATACAGGCCTAGCCTGACTAACTTTCCCTCGTAAGGCAATATGTTCATTTCAGGTATTCTTCAAGTAAATCTTCTGCAAACCACTTCCAACTCATTAACTTCCTTCAGTAAGTGTGGTGACCAGTACTTTACACAGTACTCCAGATGTGGTCTCACCAATCCCCAGTGTAATTGAAGCATAAGTACCCTACTCTTGCATTCAATTCTCCTCACAATAAACCATAATATTCTATTAGCTTTCCTGATTACTTGCTGTATCTGCATGCTAATTATCTGTGATTAATGCACCCGGACACCCAGATCACTCTGCATCTCGGAGCTCTATGATCTCTCACCATTTAGATAATATGCAACTTTTTTATTCCTTCTGCCAAAATGGGCAATTTCCCACTTTCCCACGTTATACTCCATTTTACAATCTTAGCACATTCACTTAACCTATCTACAAATATTTTTAACCAACTTGTTATGACACACAGCAAGATGAGACTTTGAAACCCGGCCTCCTGGCCCTGTTAACCTAACCTTTCGATATCCCGTTGTTATTCTGCTCCTTATTTCTTCTTCACAATTGACTTTCCTTCCTCTCTGTATCTTCAGCAAATTTAGCTACCATACCTTCTGTCCATTCATCTAAATCATTTATGTAAATTGTAAACAGTTGAGGTCCAGTATTGACCCCTCTGGCATACACCTTGTGACATCCTGCCAGCCCAAAAAAGACCCATTTGTTCCTACTCTCTGCTTCCTGTTAACCAGCCAATCTTCTACACATGCCAGTGTTATCTCCAATACTATGAGCTTTTATTTTCCAGAATAATCTTTGATGAGACACTTGTCAAATGCCTCCTGGAAATCTGGTTTCCCTTATCCACAGCACATGTTACTTTTTCAAAGAACTCTAATAAATTAGGTTAACATGATTTCCCTTTGATAAAACTATGTTGGCTCTACCTGATTACCTTGAACTTATCTAAGTGCGCATCTTTAATAACAGCTTCTAACATTTTTCCTATGACAGCTGTTACGCCAACTGATCTATAGTTTCGAGCTTTCTGTCTCGATTCTTAAATAAAGGAGTTACATTAGTTATTTTTTCATCTAAAGGAGCTTCCCTGAATCTCATGAGTTTTGGGAAATTAAAAGCAACACACCTTGAGGAATTGCTTCTTCAGTTATGCATATGTGTCTTCAGTTGTGTTGGTATATCTGTTATATCACTTCCACCATGCATGATTGAAGCGATAACTATTTTATGCCCAAGTTACCAATTGGGCTGACTTTTGTTGAGAGTGTTGATGGTTTATACTCTCACTAGCTGTCTAATGCTCAATTCTGGCAATAGTTTAACATTTAGTATAAAATTTGGCTTTCTGCTGTCTCACCTTGATTTTGTCACTCACACCTGTTTCTACTTCTGGCTTCAGTAGCTTGTTTGCTGGTGAAACAGTAGTTTGTGTGCTGTATGACACTATTCTTTGTACTGGACTACTTAGCATTCCTTCATTAGGTGTGTTTCTCCAAATCAGGATTGCCTTTTGTACTGAGATAACAAGGTGTAGAGCTGGATGAACACAGCAGG